GCAGAGGATAATGCCCACAGCTAAAGATCGAGAAATGGGCCGAGAACTTGATTACCCAGAAGCTGTACTTCTTACAAGCCCAACTAATTCTTTCCTCAAAGGAGAGGTAGATTTCTTGATTATTCTGAATTTAAATTCTTCATACACTTCTTAACTACTACTACTACTGTCTAGGGAAAAAAATCAGAAATAACCAGATTTACAATTGGTAACTAAAAAAATATCAAAAGTTTCAAAAGTAACCGAAAATTTAGCCAATTTTTCATGCAAACATAAAATTTGAATTAAAACACCCTTAAAAATCTGAAAAAATTCCAGCATAATATGCTGGAGTTCGAATTTTTTACATATGAGATTCTAGCATAATGTGCTGGAGTTCCAACATAATAAGCTGGAAGTTAATACACAAGAGCTCCATAATCCAACATATTATGCTGGAGCTTTCTGTGTGCTGGAATTCCAACATAATAAGCTGGAAGTTTATATGCAGGAGCTCCATAATCCAGCATATTATACTGGAACTTTTTGTGTTTCAACAAAACATAGGCTATTTTTCAATGACTTTGCAAACGCTAGCTATATTTTAATTACCAGTCCGAAAACAGACTAGACCGTGCTTTTCCCCCTATCTTTTATCCTTTTATTTCCTTTGACATTTGATTTTATCGCTGCTAATATATTTTTAGATATTTACACAAATAATCATTTATTATATTACTTTTTCTAGCCAGTATATATAAAATATATATTGATTGTATATGATTATACATATATGGTATATTATCCGGCTAACAAGAGTGGGTTGCTCTAGTGATAAACACCCTCCACTTCCAACCAAGAGGTTGTGAGTTTGAGTCACCCCAAGAGCAAGGTGGGGAGTTCTTGGAGAGCCCAGCCGAAGGTCTATCGGAAACAGCCTCTCTACCCCAGGGTAGGGGTAAGGTCTGCGTAGACACTACCCTCCCCAGACCCTCTAGTGAGATTATACTGGGTTGTTGTTGTTGTTGGTATATTATCTGGCTATTTTTAATTTTAGTGATTGGATAAGCGACTATTTAGGTTAATTATGCCATATATTTTTTTGTATCTAGGTGGACGATAAGTATCAGTACTCTGTTGAAGACAAGGATAATCGGGTCCATGGGTGGATCAGCCCAAACCCAAGAACTGGATTTTGGATGATTACACCTAGTAATGAGTTCAGAACAGGTGGGCCTGTTAAACAAGATCTCACTTCTCACACCGGCCCAATAACTTTATCTGTGAGTATATCATATGTTAGCTGCATAAGTGTTCTTATTTTTCTTATAAGATTACATATCCTTTATTTCTTAATCCATATTTTATAATGATGCCAGAAATTTCTATGAATAAAAATCATACCATTTCTTGAAAAAAATAAGAACAACATAATTTTGGTTTTACCATATGTTACATGGAAAACACCTAGAATCCGCACTGTCAGTGACATATGTAGCCTCTGTGTTGTGAATTCAATCGAATCTAGTATTTTCAATATATAGTTTATATA